CCGTTTGGAAGATAGCGGATTGAATATAAAATAGCGGATTAGACTTAATTGAGAGGTTTGACCCGTGAAATCCGCTATTGAGTTTGTTTGGTAAATAGCTTATTTGATAAGCTTTTTGGACCCAAAACTCTAATTTAGAAAAAGCTCATTAGAGCAGCTTTTTGGGATAGAGGATTCACAAAAATAATTTATTTGGAACTTTTTAATTTGTATTATTTATTTTACAATCTACATTGGTTTATGGTGCTAATAAATAATAATATGTCTTCCATATGATTAATTTATCTAGAAAAATATAAAATTCATAACTTCTTCATCAAGTGTTAGTAAATTTTAATATACATATATATACATATATATATATATATATGTATATATATATATATATAAATTACCAACTAAATAATATCAAATGTTTTAATATATTATTATTAAAATAATACACCCTAAATAATAAAATGTCATTATTGGTCATTTTGCAATGTCAAACAGGTATAAGCTTTCAGCTATTTACCAAACACTTATTTAAAAACCGCTAATGCAATCCGCTGGTCAAATCAGCTAATATAATCCACTATCCGTTATCCGTTGATACAATTCGCTATCCGCTATCTGCTATCCGCTAATCGCCAAACAAGGCCATTACCTCCTTCCAATTGTTCTTCACAGCATACTTCAGAGCCCTGGTAGTCCCCACAGCATAGGCCTCCACTGAACTCCCATAGAAGTCCCTAGATGCATCCCAAAGCTGCAAGTCCCTCTCTCCACTGAAATCCCTAGCCCCTAACCCCAAAGAGCCATTACTGATGCAACAGGTAATGGCTAAATATGTAGTATTATCAGACCCAGCCAACTTAACCCAATCTACCCCTCTGTTGATTAATCCATTCACTGTATTCATGCCCTTTCCAGTCCTCTCCTTCCCCTCTACAAACTGGGAATTCTTGTCCAGTCTCAAATCTCTAAACCCAATCCAATCATCCTAGCTTTGCTAACTATTATAACCTCTCTCTCCCACATTTTTTCAAACACCCAGTGGTTTTTAGTCTTCCATCGCCACCAAAGAAGGTAGGTGGAGAGACTAATTCTATCTATCGTGCATTTGAATTTTAGAGAAGTACATATAGCAAACCACAAATCCCTAAACCCACAGCCCTCAACCCTCAAACAATCCCAGTAAATACCCATCAACTTCAGCACTTTCTAGCCCTATCACACTGAAACAAAATGTGACCCAGATCCTCCACACTCTCTCCACAGACTTAACAAACCACCTCACACTCAATTCTTCTTCTCCACAGTTGCACTCTGGTTCCCAAAAAATCATGGCAACACCTCCATAGGAAGTGTTTGATTTTATTCTGGATAGGCAGAGCCCAAGTAATCTTCCACGTTTTTCTAAGACTCTTCCCATTACTACTAGTTCCCTCCTCTCTCAAATGATTCCTCATGTTTATGATAATAGACTGATAAACCTCCCTAACACTAAAAGCCCCATTCTTGTTCCCATCCCAAACTAATCTATCCCTCAACACCAACCCATTAAGCTAAATATTAAGAATAGCTCTGGCAGTATCAGCGTCAAAAGTTTGAGCAATCAGCTCCTTGTCCCAGCAAGAACCCTCATTAACTATAAGATCCCTAACTATGCCGAGCCTACCCTTATCTACTGGAAATTTGCACTTAAGAATGAATCCCTGAATATTAGAGATCCATGGAGATTCCCAAATATCAGCAGATCTACCATCCCAAATTCTAAGCCTAGCCCCCAATTCGAGAGAAGCCTTAGCCCATAACCAGCACCTCCACAACCAAGAATCCCGTCCCATAAGCTTGACATCCCAATTATTTTTTCCCAAAAAAATATTTTCCCCTAATGACCCTACTCATTAAAAGGTTGGGTCTAGTCACTACCCTCCACAACTATTTAACAGTTAGAGCATCATTGAAAGCTCTTATGTCCCTGAAACCCAACCCCCCATCTATCTCAGGCTTGGCTAACTTGTCCCATCTAGCCTAGTGGATCCTATTTCCCAACCCATTACCTTTCTTGCCCCACCAAAACCCTGCAGATTCTTTACAGATATCATCACAAATGGAGTATGACAGGCTATAGCAGGACATAATATAAGTAGGTAAAGCCCGAATCACACTATTCAGAAGAACCTCTCTCCCTGCCTCACTCAAATATATATTTTTCCAGTTAGAAATTCTGTTTTTCACTGCTTCCTTAACAAAGTGGAATGTCTCTCTCTTAGATCTACCCATTCCCAAAGGAAGACCTAGGTATTTAGTGGTAACAACATGCTTCATCCCGTGAAAAATGGAGCGGATTTCATACTTGAGAGAATCAAGGGAATTTTTGGAAAAATAGATGGAAGATTTGTTCCAATTGACAAGCTGACCAGAAGTTGCACTATACTCATTAAGAATATTAAGAATAATGTGAGCATGACTAGAATCAGCCTTCCACAACAACAAGGAGTCATCAGCAAAAAAGAGATGGAAGATGACAAGAGCAAATTTACTAATCCTAATACATTGGAATCTCCTGAGACTTATAGCTTGGAAAATTAGGTTAGAGAGAGCTTCAGTGATAATAATGAACAGGTAGGGAGATAAATGATCCTCCTGTCTAAGCCCCCTGGTAGGTCTAACAAAACCCTCACTAGACCCATTGACATTGAAGCTAAAAGAAGTAGAGCAAATGCAAGCAAAAATCTAGTCCACAAACCTATTACAAAACCCCATTTTGACACAAACCCTAGCCAAAAAGTCCCATTCCACCCTATCCTAGGACTTGACAATGTCCAGCTTAACAGCCATATACATGTCCCTACCAGTACTCCTCTTGTTAATGTAGTGTATACACTCATTAGCAATGATTGCATTATCCAAAATCTGCCTTCCTGGGACAAAGGCTAATTAGGATACTGATATACATGAGTGTAACACTGGTTTGATTCTATTAGCAACGACTTTGGCAATAAGCTTGTAAATGACATTACAGAGGCTTATTGGTCTAAAATCACTAACCAGGGAGGGGTTTTTCTTTTTGGGAATTAGGGTGATAATGGCATGATTCACACCTGTGGGCATTTTCGCCACAGAGAAGAAATTAAGCAATAGCAGCACACATGGGATTGAACAATAGACCAAGAACTATGGAAAAAACCTACAGTGAAACCATCCTCACCAGGAACCTTATCATTATTCATTTCACATAGGCATACCAAGTTTCTTCCTCAGAGACTTCTTTAGTGAGATTTGAATTCATCTCGTGAGTAATCGATTTGGGTATGCCTTCAAGGTTACAGCTCTCTACCCTAGGACAAGATGTTTTGAATAAACACCCAAATTGGTTCTCTAATTCAACAGTCACTTCCCTCTCATCTATACATCTAGACCCATCTGCCCTACCCAAGTTAGCAAGGGAATTCACCCTTCTTTTTTGTTTCACAGAGGCCTAAAAGAATTTGGTGTTCTTATCACCCTCTTTCAGCCAAGTAATTCTAGCTTTCTGTTTCCAGAAAACTTCTTCCTCTTTATAAGCTAAATGAAGCTTAACTCTACACCATCTCCAACTGTCCCAATCCTTATCAGCCCCAAGAGCATCCAACTCAGAGAGTTTGTCTTTGAGACAAACGATCTCTTTAGCAAAATTGTTGAGGTGGAAGATTTGAATGTTCCCATACATGGCACTTTGGAGACATATGAACAAATGAACATTCAAATAAACAAATGTCACCATACATGGCACTTTGGAGACATTCAAATTACCAACATGCAAAGCAATATTGAGTTTTACACCCGATTTAAATTAATATACGTTGTTAGCTATAAAGAAAAAAGGACCACAAAAAGCATGCCAAATTTGGATGGACACATTGATGAAACAAATGTGGATATCCTCTAAAACCGGGCTTGCCCTACTTTTTTCCTATGTGGTGGTGCTCACCGCCACCACCGTGGTAATGGCACAATGGGAAGGTAATTTTTCAAGGCCTTACGCAACAATGCTCGAGGTATGTTCGGAAAACGAGCCCCAAAGAAAGACCGTCCCAAGAATGTTGCAAAGCTGTGAAAAATGTCGACTTGCCGTGCTTGTGCCGGTACATAACGGGACAAGTCGAGCAAATAGTGAGCACCACCCAAATATAGAAATTGAAAAAGAAACAAGAAATATGATGGATTAATTAATAGCTAGATAGATGGACTTAAATAGAGATTGTATATTAGCACTGAGATAAGAGATATCGCGTGCAGATTGGCTGGCGACATGTTCCGTCGAAATACCTTCGACATTCTAAGCTCCATAATGATCCATTTTCTCGCAACTTCTACCATATACTTATATGTAACGCTTGTTCCTCAGTTTAAAAACGGAAAAAAAAAACTAGTAGACTTACTACCAAATCCCAATTGATCATGTACGAGAGCAACAAATTTGCGATGAAGCTCTTGCGACTAGACGACACGTGGCTTCTTCTACTTTGACGAAACGTCATCACAGGTGTACTCGTTTCGCCTTTTATCATTATTTGGCGGGTTTTCATTAAAAAACACTATTAATGTTAGAATTGCTTCCTCATCGATCTCCACATGATATTCACCCACAAGAACAATCTTATTAATTATTATCAACATTCTTCTTCCTCAACTTTTTCCTGCCATATATTCTTCAGCTCCTCGACTAGATAATCACACGGGCCGCGCCGCGACGTTCATTATCCCCCTTTAATACACGTTCTTTAATTACTATCGTTCCACGACACCACTACACAAACAAACACCGAACAATCTCATCATCATCAAGACTTAGCTTAATTTATTAATAAACAACCCACATTTTTACCAAATTTGTAACATCACATGAAGACATTCAGATCAACAAATGAAGAAACAACATAACTCTTTAATATATTAAGAGAAAACAATAAATCTAGCCATAATTAACATGATAGCCCCCAAAGATTTATATGTAAATTAAATCAATGCAGCTAGCATTGCCCTCCAGATCCTTGCGCATTGTTGAACATGTACGGATACGGCAAAGCCGACAAGTCCCACCTCACCTCAGCTTGACTAGTCCCAATCCCTTGGAGCTCCGTCAGACTGTCCGCTATGCTCAACATATATCTATCCACACTATCCTTCTTTTCTTCTTCTTCCTCCTTTTCCTCCTCCTTGCCCTTTCCTTTCACCCTTTCCATCCGGGACGTGATGTCCCTGATGACCTGGTTTATAACCCAACCCATCTCGTTCACGTCACTCGCCTCCACGTCTTCAATCCTCGCGCTCCCTTCCATGCACATGTACACGTGCTTCTCCAGCTCCCGCCGCCTCTTTTCCCTGTGGAGCCTGCTCAGCTGCGCCTGTGCCTTCACTATGCGCTGCTGGGTGAACGTTTCTTGATTCACCATCTTCCTCGTCCGCTCCGCCTCCGACAGCCTGTAGAAGCGGCCCACAACCACTTGGGCCTCGGCACGTGATGGGTACACCTCTGCCTCCTCATCCGACGGGCCGTACACTATCACGCATACCGGGACGTCACACAACGTCCCGATTTCTCGGGCCTTGTTCATCAAGCCTCTCTTCCGTTTTCGGAATGAGGCTTTCCTCTCAGAGTCGACTTCGATGTAAGCAAGGGTGACTTTCTTTCTAGCCATTTTTTTTGAGTGGGTGCAACAATTAGTTGGTTGCCATTCGTTTATATAGAGACGTTGATGGGATCGGGTAGACTGGAAATTCGGTCTTAGCTGTTCCAACATTTGATGCAAGTGATTATTTTAGGGAATAAATATTGTTTTCGGGGTTATGACAATTGTTCAAAATTACGAGAATAGATAAATGATATTTGATTTGTGATTCGGAATAATTATGAACATTACACTATGCACCTACCAAATAACATGGCAATTACAACAACAGTAACAATAAATATGAATCTGTTTTCTTCGCAGGGGATGCGCGATGTTTTGTAATACGTTGACCAAATCTTTGTTTGACAAAAATCAGTGATTGAGATGAGATTTTGTCTATGAGATTCATATATTATTATTATTATTATTATTATTATTATTATTACTTGTACGTACGTGCGATGCACGGGACAAAAATATTAAATGTGTTATTTCACATGCTTTGTCCGTTTAAGTATATAAAGCAATAGGATTATCATCTATTTTTCATCTTTTTTAATCAGCTTTAAGTATAATAAACAATAAGGTTATAATATATTTTGCACCTCTTTTAATCAACGTTATTTTTTTGATCAAAATATTAAAATAATTAATATATTATTTCACTAACATATTTATCCTAATTTAAATTTGAGTTTAATATATATATTTATTCCTTGATACAAGAGAGAATAACAATTTTACTTATTTTTGTTCACCATATAATACTTAATTATTATTTTATTATACACTTTATGTCATATAATGTCATTATTATTTATAAAGTTATAGAAGTTGTACGTCTTCTTTATATTTTTATTTCATGTAATGAAAAATATTTAATGCACGTTTGCATTATTTATTTATGTAATCAATTTAAAATATGTGAATAAATTTAATATTAAATAGTGTATAAATATTTAAAAAAATATACACATGTTTTTTTAGAATTTAATTTTATATACTAATTAAACAACTTTGATTTAGAAAATCCTAAAAACTCGATCCCCTATATGATCAAGATTTTTCTAGTTCGCATTATAAGGATTTATGGTTTATTTAGCATACTCAACAATGAAAATATATTTTACAAGAATTTAATTATAGAAATAAATCAAAATAAAAAATATAGTCATGGGTGCCAATAATATACAAATAAATGCTAAACAATAGTTAATATATTTCAATTTTAGTTTTTTACCATTAGTAAAACTATTTATTGTATCTAGTCATTATCTCTTAAATGGTAAGTTATATTAATTTGAAGAATGATTTATTTTTTATATTTAACAAAATAAAGCTTAAGAAACAAATATATTGACAAATATTAATTCACCAAATTGAAATTTGTCTGATTACTTGGAAAAAAATTCTAGCTAATTTGTTACGATTTTTCATAAATATTTTTGGATAAAAAGTGAATATTTGTGAAAAAACAAATATTATGTTTAGAACTTAAAATATGATGTAATATTATCTTGACCAAAATATTATTAACATGGATCACATAAATCAGTCTCGTAATTCATTATAATGAATATCAATGAAAATATTACAAATATTAATAAAATAATATTTATCTTGACCAAAATATTATCAACATGGATCACGAAAATCAATCTTGTAATTTATTATAATAAATATAAATGAAAATACTGCAGATATTAATAATTTATGGGTAAAATACCTTTTCCCATCCGAACTATCACGGTTTTGGCGCATGACCATATAAACTATTTTTTTTTACAAACCACCGTATGAACTATACGAGTTTGTCAATGTGCCCCCTAAACCAGATATAAAAGTGGTTTGACTGAAAAAGCTGTTTGGTAACCATATGTGCCCCTAAATACTTTTACAAACCACCATATGAACTATCACGGGTTTGTCAATGTGCCCCCTAAATCACTTTTATATCCAGTTCAGGGGACATATTGACAAACCCGTATAGTTCATATGGTGGTTTGTGAAAAAAAAAAACAAATAGTTTATATGGTGATGCGCCAAAACCGTGATAGTTCGGATGAGAAAAAGTATTTTACCCATAATTTATTTAAATAATTATTTGATCTTATTTGAGAACGTGTAAATAGAAGCAATTAATGCATATATAAAAAAATTTTAAAAATAGCATGCATTAAATGTTTCCTAAATGTTTGCTACTATTTTTAGTAAATGGTAATTCTTTTTGTATATATATAGATTATTATTATTATTTCCAAATCCAATTTTGTCTATGAGATTCATATTATTATTATTATTATTATTATTTTTATTATTATTATTATTATTATTATTATTATTATTATTATTATTATTATTATTATTATTATTATTATTATTATTATTGTTGTTTCCAAATCCAATTTTAATTAGCAACATGCATATTCATTTACCTCGTAACTATATTGGGATTCACTGGATATTATGATGCGGTTTCAGGTAAGTTGGCTTAATATTTATTTTTCTTTTGTCAAAAGAGGAGAGAAGGCTCTTCACAAAAGGAATTAGATGTTTTTAACCAAAAACTAAGGCTAAGTACAACCATGTTCAGGCTAACATGAAATGTTGTACAACTTTATAAATAGTACGATATGTACTAGTGCATAGCCTGTGCGACGCATTTGTAAGAAAATGACATATTTATATCTATATCTATATATATTGAAAGAGGTTGATTGAATAATCCAAAATATTAATTTTGACTGTGTAATTAAATATGTTGACTTATTATTAAAGGAAATATAGTAAAATTACATTAATATTTATAAGAAAAATGAAAATCAAATTATACCTACCTGTTGTAAATCGTGTAATCCGGTTAATATTACGACCTTCTATATAAATAAAGTGGTATCAATTTGGAAATTATTTTGGGATAGTTATCGCAATAAAAATTTGATCATTCATATTAACTACGAATCACTGCAATTTCATATTCTTTTGGTACTCAACCATACAACATGTCTTCAAAAAGTGTCTTGAATATATTTCATTTTTTTTAAATATTATTTGAATATGCACGATAAGATTGCAAATATAATTACAAAACAAAATTGAAATGAATTATGAAAATTTTATTATGATATTTATCGTAATATTACAATTGAATTATTTATAACATTAATAACAAATCACGGTACTGATTTCTTATTCATTTGAAAACCAACCGTATAACAAATATTTTTTATCGTATCTTTAAAAAATAATTTAATTGAGAGGATTAGTTTATAATCCTTTAATTTATCAATAATTCAACTGTTCCAATTTTTCAAAAATTATAAACTTTTTTTTCCGACGATATAAAGATCTCCAATAAAAAACGGGCCAAAAAGGCCAATGTACAAGGGAAAATCCCCAATTCCGAAGCAAAACATGAGAGGGACGCACAACTGCTCCCTAATCGAAATAGACCCAAACAGAAAAACCAAGACCATCACCCAAAAACTACAAAATACAAAGCAAGAGCAAAGCCAGACCCTCCACAGCAACCACCCATCATCACCTCAGACAGCAAGAAGCATAAATACAACTGGAGATATACAAGATAAATAACTGACACATAAGACCAAACTTATCCCATATGCTCCTCTATAGAACAACAGAGTTGCTCTTCTTGAAGTCCAGCCAATCTGCCAAGGCTGCTTGAATAATCCAGCTTTCCTCTAGCAATTTGCCCTCGAATACCCACAGGTTTCTAGCTCTCCACAGCCACCATAAAATGTATGTGGAGAGTTTGATTCTATATTCAGCACATTCCTCAGTAGTCATGCCACTCACCCACCACCACCATTGTTTAAGAGATAGCTTCTCCTCCTGAACTCTACTCCAGTGGATTGGGGATAACCTCCAAACATTTCTAGCCTTTCTGCATAAGAACAAACAATGCTCCTGAGATTCTTCCTCCTCCCCACAGACTCTGCAAATAGTCTCTATGTCCATCCCCCTAGCCTGCAGATTACAGCCAACAGGGAGAATGTTGAAAAAGCACTGCCATATGAACATTTTCACCTTTTCCATAACTTTGAGGCTCCAACATCTTCTCCTAGCTTTCCTGTTCCTGGCAGCCAAGTCACTAGATTCAGCAATTGGTCTCAGCCCCATTTTAGCAGACAAAAGCTTACAATAAGCTCTCTTAACAGAAATACTGGGGTTTACGGACTTGATCAATAAAATATTCTCAGCGTCCTCCTCTTCAAACAAAACTCTAATAAGATTCTCATCCCACTGAACTCCATCAACTAAAAGCAGATCTTTTACCCAGAACAGGTTACCATCCACAGCCACTCTCAGATTAAGCTTTCTGCAAGACAACCCAGGGACCCAATTTGGCTCATTAATTTGAGTGGTCTGCCCATTTCTAATAACAACACTCACATGTTTCTGCAGCTCAGGCAAGAGAGAAGCCCAAGAGTTCCAAAGCCAAGATGCACCCCCATAGTTTTTCCAATCAAATATAGAGCTGTTTTGAAAATATTTTTATCTGAGAACTCTGCACATTAGGGTGTCAGGCTGCTCAATAAGCCTCCACAGCTGCTTGATGATTAATGCCTTGTTAAAGAGTTGCAGATCCAGGAACCCTAAACCCCCATCATCTTTAGATGCAGTCAACTTATCCCATGAAAGCCAATGCATACTCATCTTCTGTGCATCTCCTTTATTCCACCAAAAGTTGGAAACAATTCTACAGATTTCCTTACACAGTTTGACAGGAAGAATAAAGCAAAACATCACAAACACAGGCAGAGCACAAAGCACAGACTTCACCAAGATTTCCTTACCTGCAGTGGATAAGAAGGTATTTTTCCAGGTACAAATCCTCTCCCTCACAGCATTCACCACATAATGGAATGTATCAATTTTGGAAGCTCCTATGCCCAAAGGTAACCCCAGATAATTGGACGATCTCTTAACAACATCACCATGCAGAATAGAGGATAAGGAAGCCATCATCACATGGAGACTTCTCAGGAGCCATTGAGAATACA